GTTCAAAGAATGTGGCATCTAAATGCAGAGAAGATAATAAAAAGAAGAGAGACAGATTTGATAGTTGTTATTATTCATTGATCACACACGATTCCGTTCTTTAAATTCGAAAATTTATATCATTATCATAGTACAAAAAACAGTCGTATATCACATCAACTTGAATAAAAGTCGGAATGATTATAATGATGAGAAAAAGCTGTAATCCAAACTTTGATCACTAATTAAACACTAAAAGAAAGTGTTAATTGTTGACTTAAACAGATGAAAGTAAGTGGTGTTGTCGCTTTCCAAATATAATCCGTAATTACTGAAATGAATAGAACCCAAATTTGAATAATTCACTACTAATGTCGCTCATCGTCATAATGTGATAAATAGACAAAATAAAATAATACCTCACTGGTTATGCTTTTTAAAGCTTGTTTGTATTTCTGAAAATAAGAAAGTGAGGGGAGATAGTGGAAGAAGAAAACAGAGAAGAGACACGTGAATACAGAGACAGAAGCTTGAGAGAGTATGTGACATAAGGATCCAAACAGGCCAGACACTCATCATCTCTGTCAACTTGCCAAGTAACACATAAATAGCACTCATACACACACACTCTCTTTACGCGCTCTTAAAAGTTAGAGATCACAACAAAATCGTTTTCAAAAGTGAAATAGAATGTATTGACTAGAGGTAAATTTCTATCGAGTATTGGTGGAATTGCTTCTCAGAATTTTTTGCAAAGTTATAAGAGATATTGTTTGCCAATTGTCACTAATATAGTAGTATAATTGAACAAAAACCATTTTCCGCAAAATTATGTTACTGATATCAAACCCTATTATAAATCTATATGGAAGACTAAATTGGAATAAAATCATGAAGCATATAAGAAAGCAGAGAAGGAAGAGGCATAAATTGGGATTGTGAATTATTCGGCTCTATATAGTAGGAATCCCTCAAAAAAAAGAAAAGAATATTACTACATATGAAAGCATATGTGAATCTCTAAGAGCCTAGCAAGAGTTTGTTCTCTCTCACTATTCATATGTACACAAACCAAACTTCTTCTTCCTACGTTAGAACCAACAACGTACCTGTTTTTTTGTTTCTTGTTGTTTCAAGGAGGCTTTGGAACTTTTTTTTTGTGAAAATAACGAAAAAAAACTCCCTAGGACAACGTGTGAATAATATCTCCATTTTTTTGAGTATTTCCATTGATTGTGTGTTGTGTATCCTGCAGATAAAAGAACAATGCTCTCTATTTATAAAGTTGCAGCAAAACTTTTGAGACAAAAGATTTATGGGTTTTGAACATGTTACCCCTAAAATGAGAGAGACTAATTCCAAGGTTGTGACAAGGAGACCGCTGACGTTGATGCTTCTACTCCTCTTCTGTGTTTAATCGCAGAGTTTAAGATCTCGTATTGTTCATTGACCGACTTGTACAAAGCTTGGCTGTATGCTTCTTTCGCCTGCCATACCACAAGAAAGTATGTATATCCATCATGAATTACTCGATCTTGAAACTAAAGTAATTGGTGTGCTGAGTAATATAGAAAAGACCTCGTTAGGGTTCTCGCAGTCTGCTGTGACATCTGAGAAGTTGATTTCAGGAGCAATTGATAGTCCAGTACCGTGAAACCCAACTAATCTTTTCTCTCCAATTTCTTTCTCAACCTGGATGATTCACAATGAGGTGATGATGTGAGGAAAGTAAACCAGAGTAAGCTCAAAACGGAAAAGAGAGACAGAGAGAAAGTAATCAATACTTGTGGTGGAGGGGGCATGATGTCATAGCAAAGCAAAGACATTGGATATATATGTCCAGGAGCACCAGAATGTTCAACTAGTCTTCTCATGTTGTCTACCGAAGAAGAATCAAAGGGTGCCTGAACATTATTAGATTAGTATACTTGCAAATCTACCAGTCTCAGATAAGATTTCTGCATTCCATCAAATAACTTACAGGAAACCATTCCCCTGTAGAAGGATTCGGGCGGTCCCTTCCACCGCTTGGTGCAATCCATATCAGTTGACCGCCAGACCTACAGGTTCATCAACATTAGCAGAGTAAAAACATCAACGCTTTCCTTTAATAGAGAGCATTGTTCTTTTATCTGCAGGATACACATTCGCTATTTAGTTCCAATAACCTTAGCATTGTAGCCATCTCCTTTAAGCTTCGTGTGTTTGCTTTTCTTTTCATGTCAACAAGCTCAGGATCATCATTCATGTGCTTTTTCGAGTAAACACATATGAGGTTCCTGAAAGCAGTAGAAATCCCGGAAATCATACAAGGTTGCTTAGATTACACTTCAGCCCATCAGGTAGCATACCATTGCAAATGAAAGCTCGTGATACCTTCCCATACTAAACGGCTTACAAAGAGGATCAGTAATGACTCGATCACCAGCTACGCATTTCTGCAACCAAAGTAAGAATAGAGACAATAGCGTATAGAAGAACTCAGAAGCAAGGCTTGAAGGCTCACAATGTTCTCTCCAATGAAAGGAGATTGTGCTTCAAGCAATAGAGAAATGACCGCCGGATCAGCTTCACTTTGATGGTTTGATATCAACACGATATTGTGTCCCTGTAATTAAACATTTGAATATTAAAGTCCTAAATGGAAAGGAGTTCAACTGTTGATGAAAGCAAATTCCATTAAAAATCTTCAAGTTAGTTAACTAGAGCACAAGAAAGAGGGAAGAGGACCTGCCGAATCTTGTCTTCCAGCTCAGAGAATATAGAAGCATTTCCAACGTACGAATTTCTGCATAACATATTCAGGGGCTGTTAGTAGATGAACCAAACGAAATTAAAAACAATACTGTTTTCTAATTGCATTTCAGTTATGGATAAAATATGATAACTATGAGTGCATATTCCAGCTTACTTGAAATCAATTAGAGGACGGATATATGTATGGACAAACATGTAGTAGTCAAATGGTTCTCTGACTGCTTTATGATATGGATTAAAAGTATAAGGATCCTGAAATATTCACAGGGCAAGGAAGCTCAAGTAAGAGAATATTAAGATGACATCTCCTAGTAGAAAACTCATTCCAAGAGATTGACAAAAGAAGTACCTCCACACCAAGAAGCATGCGATCAAAAGCAACAGACATGTTTGATATAACAGTCTCATCTGCCCTAGACGCTCCGCTACTTAAAACCTAAAAAACATGGCACCGATCCAAATAAACGACAATGTGAAGTTCAGTGGGCTGATGTTCTTTAATCCAAGTAAATTCCAAAGCATAGCACAAATCGTACAAACTAGTGAGTGATAAAAGGATTCATTTACTGCATTTTTGTAGTTCCAATACAATTCTTCCATTCCTGATGCAACATTTGCAGGCAACCTTCCAGCTTCAGCTTCCTTCTTGATACCAGATAAAAGATCTGAATACAGAAATGAAGATAAACACAATGTTAATACAGGCATTGTTACACATCAATCCAGAAACTCATAATTGCACTACGGAACTACAGACTTGAAAAAAGAAATGATCTGATCTTTCTTAAAGAAAGCGAAAGCAACACAACGTAACGATTCCAGAGACGTTCTTATCGATTATAACAAAAATGGAGCAAGATCAAAGCAAAAACCAAGAAGTCAATTCGATTAACCTTATCCAGTCAAACAAGAAACAAAGTCGAATATCGATTTCGCGATAAGATTATGAACAACAAGAATCGAACAATCTCCATAACTCTAAATTCCATCTCCGAATTGCTACGACAAGTGAAACTAAAGAGTCAATTCAAATATCCTCAGGAAGAAGAAGAAGACTAACTAACCTTGTTCACTTCGCGCATCCAAGAAAGTACGGGAATGATTAAGCTCACTCGGCGTCTCACCGGCGGTTTCATTTAAAGCAATGCTCGCCGAAACGGAAGATTCCTTATCCTGAACAAGCTCAGACATCGCTCTCACACTAACGCCGCCGCGAGAACGAAGAGGCGGCAGAAACAGCTTCTTCGCGGTTAATCTGAAAGAAACGAAACCGCGAAGAGTCGACGAAGCGAGTGGATAAACCGGAACCCTAGCGGAGGAGGTTACGGTTGCAGCAGCAACGGCAACGGTTGCGGCGGAGGAGGAAAACGTGAGAGTCATTAAAGCGTGTTTGGTGATTGGACGAAGCAGAGCGTGTGTGTGACGGAGATCTCTTCCTCCTTTTTATTTATCCCATGAGTCCCTCTTTTTCACGTTTTTTTTTTCTTCACCAAATTAAAAACTCATTTTTCTATTTTTTAAATAATATTTCTATTTATTTTCCTCCCTGTTAGAAATAATTAAAAGTTGCCTCAGTAATTTTATTTATTTCAAGAACTCATAATTATAGTGATAACATGTACTGTATTAATTTTAAATTTAATAAAATGTGGATATTGTGAGTCAAGAGTCAAGACCAAATTATAACCTCATATCTTAATTTTTTTTATTTGTCCCCTTAGTTGCGTCCGTACTTGTAATTTGCCTTTGTGTTTGTTTGAAGAAGTCATGTTTGTGTGTACACATTATGAATATCTAAATATAAATCATGTGATGTCAACAACAGAAAAATCACGTAACGATTCTGAAATTATAGATTGTGGAAATAGTTGATATCAAATTAAGAGCTTTAGATAATTTTTTTTCCCTTAGTTGCGTCAGTATTTAAATTGTTGGTATTTAAAGAAGTCATATTTGTGCGTATACGTAATGATATTAAAAAGCATGTAACAATTCTAAATTCTAAGATAGTAGTTGACAAAATGTCAAAGTCAAAATGTAAAATTAGATTTACAGTTTTTCACTTTCGTGATAATTTTTACACACTTGACTAGATAAGCTTCAATTATTAACAGATCTCTCTTCTTTTTTTTTCTCATTTAAAGAGTGTCGTGAGTTTGTTTGTGACATAAACGGCACAAAACTCAGCTCCACCAACTTGAGGATTGGGTTTATTGACAAGTGTCAGATTGTGAGTGGTTCAAATATAGGCCGAGAGAACCGAATCAAAACTAAGGGTCCCATTACTGCAGGAGACTGTGTTATTGAGAGAGAGACTAATAAAAGTTTGATTATTTGACAACAACAAAAATATCTCAAACTAGAGTTTTGATTCCAAGTGACACCTAAAAACTCCAGTACATGTAAACATGAAAGCAACTTGTAGATAGCAGAGTGAAACCTCTATCCGAGGAAGTTGATGATCACCAAATGGAGGACTAAGTTGCAGAGAACAAAATCAGCAAAAGCTCTCTCCGGTGCCAAATCCTGCAGTTTTCGAATGATTTTAGTTTAGGATATTATACAATAGTACATTGCAGATATCTAATGGTAATGTAATGAAACTGTTGGCTGTGTATAAACCCCTAGGGAAAATGAGATCAATGATAAGTTTCTCAGATAATTGATTCCCATTTTCAGAAGTTCTATATATATATGTCCAGAACCTTGTATATTATATTTCTTCGATGGAATCAATGTACTAACCAAGGGATCATTCACGAGAATCTCTAACTCTCCCACAAACCCAACCTAAACCCTAATTAGGTTGGTGAATTTCTAGAATGCCTATACAGTTTCTGCCTAATTCCCTTTCAAACTCTTATCTCATATAGCTGAAATTCAAACATAGCCGCATTCCAATACAAATCGTCCTAGTTAGTTCCAATAGTCTTGCTCTTGCACTACACTAACAAGAACACCTTAACATTATAATTGCAGTGTCACTACAGCTTAAATGGAAATGTTTTGAGTTTGGATGGATATATAAATCAATCAACTAAATATTGGGAATAAGAGGAGGGAGATGAAAAATTGCCATTGCTATAACAAAAACAGTGGTATGATTACTGAAGAGAAGTAAAATCGTCATCTAAATGTTTTCAGAAACGGCATAGCATTACCTTGAATTCCTTGTTTTCTTTGTTCACTTGAATTCGGAGGCAAACTATAAACACAGAATAAAGAAGAATGCTAGATTCATACATTCTCAAGGTATAACCGTATAAGTATTTGTTGTAAGATATGCTAAACTTACCAGCAAGAACTGCTGTCCCGATACAAGAGAGAACTCCAGATAGGAATGAGTTAAACGGAAATGATCCCACCAGAGCCATATAAGCCACCTAATTCAGTGAAAAATCAAGAAAAAACTCGAGAGATTAAACCTCACTGGCCATTTACTGAAATGCTGCTCATGAGCAACAGGGAAGTTAAATTACTTATCCATCATGAATTTATTTAGTACTGAAATAAGTCAAGAAAAAAAGAACAAGAAATGTCTCATTTCCACAGATGATTGAAGCGGAGAGATTTTTCTTGAATACGACATCGAAACAAACAGAAACATTTACCATTTCACACAAGTATAAGCTACCTATTCGGCGAAAAATCAAGGCAGAGCTCTAGAGATCAAAACTCACTGGCCAGATGCTTAGCCTTTTGGCATTCAACTGAAATGCTACTATGAGTAACCGAGAAATCAAATTACTTATCCATGAAGCTTAAGTAAGTCAAGAAACAAAAAACAGGAAAGCTTCATTACCTCATTTCCTTAACAAACACACAGAAAAAAAATACACAGATGCGTAACAGAGCAAACCCATTTGCACATTAATGCTATGAAACTACATTGCAATTTGAAGTTAAAGGTTCGTAAAGCAGATTTTAAGATCTAAATCGATTACCTATTCTACCAAATTTCATAAACCATTGACGCGTGAAAAAAACAACAGATCCATGATAAATCGAAAGTTTCGTAAACAATGACTCGAGAATCGCAGATCTAGGAAGCCATAATTCGAAGATATTAGAGTATGTACCTGAATCAGAGCGGTGAAGACAGCAAAAACGACATACAAGTCGATGATCTGCAATCAGAAGTTCCAAAGAAATTGAATTTCAACAGGATTCGAAAATTAAACCATTGATCCTTAAAAAAACAAAGGTTTAAGAGAAAACAACAATGGCGTACCTTCAGATTAGTCGGAGTAGCGGAATAAGCTGAACGAAGAGATCGAAACAGATCCTGAGCATCCTTACTTGTCGATTTCACCATTTCGAATCAAAGAACAACAAACAAACACCAATCCCTCTCTTCTTCTTCGTATTTCTTCGATTGCTTTTCTTCGTCTTCGCGAGTCTTCAAGTCTTTTTTATCACTCTTCACAAACTTCTACTCTCGACGTCGTCGTTTTACAAACTGGGCCTATCTAAAGATTATTTGGGCTTTAATTGAATATTCCTAACGGCGTCGTTTTGAGTATTGAATTTAAATAAATGCATAAATAAATTTTTTGTTGCTTCAATTCCGCCGAATTGTACCAACCACATTTTTCTCGCTTGGCCGTCTTCTCCGGCGATTTTCAGACACTAGTTTTCTCTCCGGTTATTACAATCAAATTTTCTGTCGGAATATTGAAATCAGAAACCGGGAAAATGACTTCGTTTCTTAGTTTCTCCGCCATTTCAGCTCATCCACCTACTTTTTCCGGCGCTTCATTTCGTCCTCGCTCTTTATCTCCCCGGTCATTATCTCTCTCTTTTAAACTACGTTTCTTCATTGAATTTCATAGATTCATGGATCTAATTGATACCTTTCGACAAAAGTATCAATATCTCTGCATTGGGGTTTTGAAAGTTAGGATCTTTAGAGTCTCTGAATTCTTGAAGTCGAAAGTTGATAGTTTTCTTTAGTTGATAATGAGAAGTTAAAAGAAGCTTCTTTTTGTTGTGTACAGATTGTTTAAGTCTTGTGTTAAGTGCACTTATGCTGAAGCTGGATTAAGTAGTGATTCATGGTCAGCCCCTATTGACATTGTGGCAGATGTCAAATCCGAAAGGGTATGAAAGCGAAAGAACGAGCCTTTTTACTTGTGTGTTATATGATTTTGTGTCTCAATTCAAAGGCATTTTCTCTTACTTAGGTTGTAGTTCTTGGTGGCAATGGTTTCGTTGGCTCAGCTATCTGCAAAGCAGCAATCTCCAATGGTATTGAGGTTGTGAGTGTTAGCAGGTACAGAAAATGTAGAAACAGAATGATTTGCATTGAAATCTTGACCAATCTCGCCTTTGTATGGATGACGGATCTCCTTGATTGATTCTTTAGGTCAGGTCGTCCTAACTTCCAAGATTCATGGTTGGATCAGGTTACATGGGTTACTGGTAATCACTTCTGTTTTTGGTTATATCAAGGATTCACATAAACATGTCCAAGTGTGATTATTAATGTGTTTTTCGTCTTTGTGGGATTTTGTAGGTGATGTTTTCTATTTGAATTGGGATGAAGTACTTCTTGGTGCTACTGCTGTAGTTTCGACCATTGGTGGTTTTGGAAATGAAGAACAGATGAAAAGAATCAATGGTGAAGCTAACGTTACCGCTGTGAATGCTGCTAAGGATTTCGGTTAAGTATCTCTTTAGCTGAAAACCCGAGTTATTATTCGCATTTCAGTGGTTTTCATTTCGATTCATTTATTGTTTGTAGGGGTTCCTAAGTTCGTCTTGATCACGGTTCACGATTACAATCTTCCGCCATTTATCCTCTCCAGCGGATATTTCACTGGAAAACGTAACGCAGAGGCAGAACTTCTTTCCAAATATCCCACCTCGGGTAAAAGATCACCTTCTAGATATCGGTTCCATTTTGCTTTTTAAAAAATCCTATGAGAAACCTTACCAAGTGTTTTTGTGATCTTCTTTTCGTTCTTGTTGTTCTTAAAGGAGTTGTGCTAAGACCCGGTTTCATATACGGGAAACGAAAAGTGAACGGAATCGAGGTCCCTCTTGATCTAGTCGGGGAGCCACTAGACAAGATTTATGATTCTGCAGAGAGGTTCATTAGACCGTTGAGGTCTCTCCCTGCATCTGATCTCATCTTGGCTCCACCGGTTAACGTCGATGATTTAGCACTTGCTGTCATTAACGCCGTTAAAGATGACGGCTTCTTTGGCATTTTCACTATTGAACAGATCAAAGAAGCAGCTGCAAAAATGAGAGTGTGAAGAGTCTTTAGATACTATTAAGTGGGTGTTATTGGGCTGTGCACTTTGCTGGAGTTTTATAGACTGAATAAAATAGCTTCGTCAAATTTGTAACGTATATCATTTGTAAAACGTATATATGGGTAACGTTGTTAAGTCGATGATCTATTTACTCCTCAATGCATAATTCAAAATAGAATAACAAGCGGTATGTATTTTTATTTCTATTGATTTAGAAATGTAAATATGATGTAAAATTTTCAATGATTTAAAATCAAATACGTGAATTGAAATCAAACAAAAAAATTCCAAATAGCAAGATTAAATTTGAGTTTTTTTTTTTTTTTTTTTTTTTGTATTTTTAAATTCAAAATCTGTTAAAATCCGATATGAAATGAAATCATATTTATTCACATACAATGAAACATCACTAAACAAATAACGTTAGATTTTAACTAGTATATAGAAATTAGTAAACGAATAACATATGATTTTGACAAAAAAAAATTGAAATCTTGAACCAATAAAGTGTTCTAAAATACGGTCTATACGACCGTATATACCGTGTATATACATTATATAATGGTTGTATAGTTTTTTAATACGGTAAAAGCTATACAGTCTGTATATACGACGATTATACAGTGGATATACAGTGAATTCCGCATATACAATGTTTTTTTTAAAAATACTCAAAAACAAAAACTATGTCTTTTTATTAATGTTTGGAAGAAACAGTTTAACAAAACTGTTAGTTTGGCTCTCAAAAAATTAACTTTATTATTATTTTTTCTATTTTTTCATGGTTATTAGTTATTCAAAATTTTAGAAATATGTTTTCAAAGTAAAAACTTTAATTTTTTCTTGTATTCATTTATAATATTCATTATGATTATTTTAATTTTGCAATTATATATGCATATCTTGCAATTATATATTTGTCTCCATGGCCCTAGATACTTAGGTCACGTTCACTGCTTTATAGATTCACCACATTTGCCTTTTACTTTCTGCTTGTGATGCTTCTTAAGCTTCTTTAACACATTTGTGCTGCAATGTGATCCTATAAATTTCTTATTATGCAAAATCACCACCACAAGAACTAAACATATTCCAGGAAATTGAGAATTCATTTTGTTCATAAAGAAATAAGTCTATTTTTAAAATGATCTCACATATTCTTTTTTTTTTTTCCCTTCTTTTCATCACATTTAGCCTTTTTAATCCAAAAGAGCAAAAAAAAAAAAAACTAAGTGGATTATGAAAAAGGGTTTAAGAAAAAGGAAATCGTGAAGTTGATGGTTCCATGTCTACTCAATCTTACATGAGATTGGTAGTAAATCAAGTAGCTTTGGCATCTCTAAAGATTACGAGGTCCAATAGTTCCAAGTTAGCTTCTGCAGATAATGTTTCTTCGAGTGCCTCTAGGAAAGGAGAGAGGGGAGGTTTAGCAGCGTTAATGAACTTGGGGAACACATGTTACATGAACAACATAATTCAATGTTTGGTGCATACTCCCCCTATCGTTGAATTTTTTCATCGTTGAATTTTTTCTGCACGATTACAACTCCAACATTAATGCAGATAATCTTTTTGAAAAGCATGTAAGAGTCTTTTGATATCTGTTTATATTCTTCCATGTGAAGCCATTCAAACGAATATATATTTAATGCATGATCAGCTTGCTAGTGCATTTGGGGCCCTTTTGAGGAAGATGTGGTCATCTGGACTGCTCTGCGCGCTTTTAAGGAAAAATTCGTTGAATTTGCTTCGTAGTTTGATGGTGATGATCAGCATGATTTTCAAGTTAGTTGTTCAAAATGGTTAATTGTGTGTGCATTGTTAATAGTTGGAGAAAATCTGTTGTACCAATCTCCTTGTTTTTTATACATTCTCCCACATCAGGAAACCATTGGTTTATTGTGATATGTTATTGTTTCCCAGAAGATGCTATCTTCTCTATTGGATGGGCTCCACAAAGACTTGAACAAGCTACAACAAGAAACGTATATTGAAGCCAAGTATTCAGAGGGTCTTCTAATTAATGAAGTAGCCGTAGAAGCTTGGAAGAACTACAAGGATCAAATTGACTCTTTGATAGTTGATGCTTTCCATGTAAGCATTTCATGCCTACTTCTTCTTTGAGTGTTCTTCTCCTCATGATATATGTAAATTTCAGGGACAATCCTCGTCTACAATGATCTGCCAAGACTGTGGGAAGACATCCTTCAAGTTTGATCCTTTCAAATCCTTACTCTTGCCTTTGGTTGGCTTTAGATCGATAATGGTTACAGTTTTTGATGGCAATGGAAGCAATCTTCCGATACCATATACTGTAATCGTTGCGAAAAATGGTGTATTTAATGATCTTAGTAAAGCAATAAGTGATGTTTGTCTCTTGAATAGTCAAGAGAGACTTGAACTTTCCCAAGTAAGAATGTTGAGTCTTTTTCTATTTTGTTGTCCTTGATATCGAGTAAGAGACTAATATAAATTGGTATTTTTCTTGTCAGGTGGATGAATACAAGAGCTACTTCGTGAATCCTTTGGATTTGCTGAGTACAATAGAAGACACTGATTACCTTGTGGGATATAGGTTCAACCTTGTGAACAAAGGACGAGAACTATTCAAACTAGAAGTTTATCATGGGGAAGAGGATACGTGAGATTTCTCACTTTATAATTTGTGATTTAAGATTCTTCTATTACGTTCTGCTTCTAATAGATGTAACACTTATACTTTGCAGGTTTGATACAAATCTGTATCTTTTTGGAACTCCCCTTGTCACATACATATAGAAAGAAACACTTAGTGGAATTGATATTGATGCTTGCGTTAAAATATTGATGTCACCTCTACGTCGAGGTCATGATGATAGTGAATTACCATCCTTCAGCCTCTTACTGGCAGATTTCCGAGCTTCTTCTTTCGAGCCACTTGAGTCATATTCTCTTGTGACTCCTAGTGCTGTCACAAAAGTTTTCCTCAAGTGGAACCAGAAAGTCGGAGATTTTGAGGATATACAATCACCATATCGCTCATCCCTTTCCTACATCAAATCATCACGATCCTCTAGGTCTGAGACCGCAGTATGTGAATGGATTATTCTTATACCTTCTGGCGCCAAGATTCAAAGATAACTATGCGTGGATAAATGTTATGCAAAAAAGAAGAAGAAAATGTGGAACAAAGTGATGATGCAAAATATTTAAATCGGTTAAAATAATTATTTGCATCGATGTAGTAATCGATGTTAAAATACACCAGTGGTAAAAAAAATGATGATAATTTTGCATTAGTTAAAATGATGTTAGTATTTGCATCAATTTATTAGAATGACAATAATTTTTGCAATGATTATAATAAGTAATGTTAAGTGTTCTAACTCTTTCCAAGAGATATCATCGATCTAGTGTTCTCTCATAAGCCAATCGAAGTGTTATTTCCCATCCTCAAATTCGTCTTTGTTATTTTAATGAATAATTGTAGAAATTTAATTTTGATAGATTTTTTATAAGAAAAAGCTATGAAAAATGTCCAGACTTAGTATATAAGGTGATATCTTTTCCAAGTCAATAGTTTATGACTATTATGCGGATCTTCTATGTTTTAAAATAAAATAAAACTTCTTAGTTTAGAAATGTGATATATTTTTGGAAGTATATTGATAGTTGGTCAATTTGATGGATTTTTTGTATCTCATTTACCATGTCTAGCTAATTTTGAAAATTATTTATATTAAAGATGATTAAATATTCTTACCTTTATAAAAAATGTATTTGGTCTTAAATATATATATCAAATTTATTTTTTTCCTTGTTGCACTATTAATTGATCAATTATTTTTTCTGTTACGGAAAAATATATGTCGTTATGTATCAAAGAAATGGAAAAGTGAAAACCGTTAGAAACAAATGCGGCAAAATATAAACAACGGTTACCGTTAGTGTCTGTTGTTTTTTTGCCGCCAAACCGTTTTACCCTCTAAATTAATAAAAAATTATAAAATATCAGTATAAAATTGCAAAACATAGTACAATAATAATAACTGAAAATTAGCTCCAATATAGTATTAATATAGAAAAAACTTCTAACACAATCCTCAACTATTAAAAATCTATTTGCCACTAGCTTTACAGAAAAAAAACTTTATTCAATCTCTATGCAATAAAAATATTATTGATAGTTATCTCCATTCAAATGGCCCCCTAGTCTACATCGATTCACAAATCTTATCAATCATGGTCCGTCAATACACACTTTCTAATTTTCAATAATTTTATAATTACATTAATTTTAATATTTTATTCTCTTCATGAAAATATTATTCCATTATTGTATTCGACCATATCTATCTGCGTGTATTGACCGCCTCTTCAATAAGTCACCACCCAATCAGATTTCGATATTGACTGACCGACCTGTAGTTTTAATAAAGCCCACATGATTTGCTTTTCGTCCAAGCAAATTTTTGGTAAGAGAAAGAGGAAAAACTCAGGAACCGCCGACTTAAGAGTTTCTTCATCTCCAAAATCGCCGATTATATATAAATGACTCTTCTTCTTCGATTCAGTTTCTTCTTCGTCGTCATCGCCGGCTTAGGGTTTTCTTCTCGATAAGCAACTACCTATCTTCTTCTCTTCCTCCGGTTAGCTTTTGCTTTTACAGAGATTATTACCCTTGTTGCCTCAGCGATCGATCTGAAAAAAAAAGGTCCGTTAGGTTCATTTTCTCTTCGTTTTTGTTTCAATTCTTCGCATGCGATTTGAGGTTTTTTTTTATCTCGAATTGTTTTTTTTTTTTGAAGTCGGTGATTGTAGATCGGCTTAGATTCGTTTGATTTTGAGAGGTTTTGAGTTGTTTTGTTTGAATTTTTATGGATTATTCGTGTGATTTTGCTCACGATCTGTGTTTTTTCGTCTCTAATTTTGAAAATCAATGAAACTGCGATTGACTTGTTTCGATTTATGGATTTTGTGAAGCAACAGAGCTTTTTTGACTTGAGAGATTTTTTTTAAGGTTATTGGAAGCTAAAGTTTTTGCTGTTTGTATTTTGCAGGAACTTTATCTTGCCGACGGCTGTTATATAAAAGGCGGTGGCATTTCTTCTCTGATTGTGTTTATTTTTATGACGGAGAAGATGAACAAACTTGTAATCTATCAGCCTCTAACTGTTACTGTTGGGTGAGTTTCAAGCTCATGGCTTGGGTTTACTGTGCTTATTTTACTGGATTGGTGTTTGTATGTTTTTGTTGGTTTGTTTCTGTGTTTACATGTAAATTTTGTTCACCTTTAGTGTCTCATAGGATGTGATGTGGTCCATTTCTTATTGCTTCATTCCTGTGTAGGTTGATTTGTACCTTCCGGTCTTTGTAATGGATATCTGTGCTCTTTATAACACAAAATACAACAAGCAATATATCTATGCTGATTTTTTTTGCTTACTTACTTTTTATCATGTAAACTGTGAGGAGTTTTTGTTTGACTCTGTTCTCTGTAATGTAGTTGTTTAATATTTTAAGCCTTTTCCATTTCTTTTGTGCAGTGTTTTCTAATGCTGTCGGCAAGACACTATCTTTAGGAGTGCTAGGGAGTTTAGAGGTTACTCAGTTGACTTTTTCTTTCAAGGTTATAGGTTTAGTATTGTTAATATATAGAAATGGAAGCCAAGATCGTCAAGGTGTTGGATAGTAGGTGTGAAGATGGATTCGGGAAGAAGAGGAAGCGCGCAGCAAGCTATGCTGCATATGTTACTGGAGTTTCGTGTGCAAAGCTGCAAAATGTGCCCCCACCGAACGGGCTGTGCCAAATTCCTGACAAAAGAAGAAGGCTGGAAGGTGAAAATAAGCTTAGCGCTTATGAGAATCGCTCTGGGAAGGCACTGGTCAGATACTACACTTATTTTAAGAAGACGGGAATCGCTAAACGTGTTATGATCTACGAAAATGGTGAATGGAATGATTTGCCTGAGCATATTATATGCGCCATCCGGAATGAATTAGATGAAAAGAGAGCTGCAATTGAGTTCGAGTTGTGCGGTCACAATTTTATCTTGGACTTCTTGCACATGCATAGACTAGACTTGGGAACAGGGGCAAAAACCCCTCTTGCATGGATTGACATTGGAGGCAAGTGCTTTTTCCCTGAAATTTACGAGAGTGATGAAAGGACCAATGGTTGCCATCATAACTGTGTGGAAGATCCAAAACAGAATGCTCCACATGATATCAAACTGCGCCTTGAGATTGACGTTAATGGTGGCGAGTCACCGAGGTTAAATTTGGAGGAGTGCAGTGATGAGTCTGGTGATAATATGGACGATGTTCCCCTTGCTCAACGATCTTCAAATGAGCACTATGACGACGAGGCAACAGAGGATAGCTGCAGCCGCAAGCTTGAAGCTGCTGTTTCGAAATGGGATGAGACTGATGCTATAGTCTCTGGTGGCAAGCTTACTGGAACCGAAGTACTTGATAAAGATGCAGTTAAAAAAATGTTTGCTGTAGGCACAGCTTCTCTAGGACATGTAGCAGTGCTGGATGTGGGCCGTTTTTCCAGTGAGATTGCTGAAGCTCGTCTAGCACTTTTCCAGAAGCAGGTTGAGATAACTAAGAAACATCGAGGGGATGCAAACGTTAGGTATGCTTGGCTTCCTGCAAAGAGGGAAGTTTTATCAGCAGTTATGATGCAAGGACTTGGAGTTGGTGGAGCATTTATAAGAAAGTCCATCTATGGTGTTGGGATCCATTTAACTGCTGCAGACTGCCCTTACTTCAGGTATTTTCTTGCTTTGTCACTAAATTTGCCTCATATTCATTTGTTTTTTTATGTTTAGATCATATATTTTACACTCCTCTCTGCAATATGTACTTTGGGTGTCAAGCACTAACCGTGAACTTGTTTTCAGTGCTAGATATTGTGATGTTGACGAAAACGGAGTTCGTTACATGGTTTTATGCCGTGTAATAATGGGGAATATGGAGCTTCTTCGTGGTGATAAAGCTCAGTTCTTTTCTGGTGGAGAAGAATATGACAATGGAGTCGATGATATCGAGAATCCAAAGAATTACATTGTCTGGAACATCAATATGAACACCCATATATTCCCGGAATTTGTTGTTAGGTTCAAGCTGTCTAATCTCCCCAATGCTGAAGGTGATTAGTTTGTTTCTTTTTTGTTCCTCACATATTACTTTTCCCCATTCAAATCAACTGATGACGCATTGAAAGGGAGACAGCTTAGAGATCTGGCTGAAGCTCAGGTCTCAATTGATAAATTTAGAAAAAAGGATCCATGTGTTGTAAACCTAACGACCTCCGGTGTTATAACACATTTGGGTTTCAAGAGACACGTCTCTGATTCATCATCCGGGGGTCGGATGAGATACTCACGCCTTAATGGGTATTTCGATCCATTAAATTCTGTTTTGTGTAGTATTAGAAGTCGATGACATACACTGGTTTCTGCAGGTAATTTGATTGCTAAGCGTGATAACTCAGGGGTCACTTTGGAAGGACCTAAGAATCCTCCTCCTCAGGTGGAGTCAAACGTGAGTTTGGTTATTGTAGTTTTTCTTTGTATGATGTTATTGAAAGAAGAGGGATTGAACAACTATACTTGTGTTGTTGTGTGTTTTAAAAGCATGGAGCAGGAGGTTCAGGAAGTGCAAACAGTGTTGGTTCAAGCACTACAAGACCCAAATCTCCATGGATGCCTTTTCCTACTCTGTTTGCAGCAATCTCACATAAGGTTGCAGAGAAGGACATGTCGTTGATCAATGCTGACTACCAACAACTGAGGGTATAGAAAAAGAAAAACTGAGTCTGAGAGCTTGCTATGTATATATTATTGATGATTGCATGAGCTTATAATAAGAAATCTGTTGGGCAGGATAAGAAGATGACGAGAGCAGAGTTTGTGAGGAAACTGCGGGTGATTGTAGGAGATGATCTGCTAAGGTCCACCATAACAACGCTTCAAAACCAGGTAAGATGTCGTAGAGATATTATTAAATCATAAGTTTACGTGTGTAAACAAAAATGCTCAACAAAGGTTTTTTTTGGGTTTGACTTCAGCCAAAGTCGAAGGAGATTCCAGGAAGCATCAGAGACCATGAAGAAGGTGCAGGTGGGTTGTTGTAAGTAAAGAAGGATGATGATGACGAATATCAAAAGGAAGCTGCTTTCTATCTATCTACCCGCCTTTTGTGGTTCTCCTTTTGACTTTTTATAATTTTAGACTTTTGGTTTTGGGTCGGGTCGTTGGTAGAGTTTAAATGTGTCGACTTTTCTTTCTGTCTTGAAAAATCGTACTATATTATACTATGATTCTACTTATTAGTCAATGATGTCGCTGGGTCTTTGTTTTTTTAGCTGCAAAACATTGTTGTAGAAGTCGTTGAATCTTGACGAAAATTTGGTCGTTGAGTCTATCGCGTGAAACTTCTCTTCACTATACTTTTTCTTATTATTCTATTAGCTTATTATATGCCGCTCATTTGTGTGAGATTGAGAATACTAGTAAATGGAAAAATTTACTTGTAGACGAAAGAATTATGTAAAATTGGGAATCATGGCACAACTGTGTAAAACTTCCGTCACTTAAGTGTGATAACGCTGGGTTCCTTTGCCACTTGTGTCCTACGGGCCAATCAAGACTCGCAAGAAACTTTTGTTGGTCCTCTCCTCCCCTTTAGAGCTCTTCATGATGCGCACTGAGTAAGCTTGGCCTCTGTCGATGAGAAGCCAGCGGATATCTCCATATTGTAGGTCCAATCAGTTCGATACTATGGAGTTTCTGTGGAGTAGAGTAAACGGTCAGTTTGGTATCTCTTTCTCTATAACAGCGACCTGGAATCCGATCCGAGTTGTTCACCCAAAAGTACAATGGTTCTGACTGCTTTCTTTTCATGGTTATGATCTGAGGTTTGTGTTGTATAGTCGGCATTTAGCTTTAACCGATTTTTTTTTTTTTTAATATCGAATTTGCAACTGAGGAATTGATGATGAGCCTAACTCTTGCATACTTCGAGGGCTTCGGAGGATTGGAGCCATGAAAAATATTTTCACCATTCTTATCTACTACATGAAACTATTAAAAGTTCTGTGTAATCGGTAAAACGATAAGTTTGCTTAGTTACACCTCCTTATATTATTGCGTAAAATAACCATTTGGTTTAATGCAATTTCACATGATTACAAATAAAAAGTGATTATGTGGAACACGAGTATCTAAAGTGGTATTTTTGTAGCATTCTAGGAAATGTTAAATTGATATATATCATTTTGAAACCTTTTACGTTAGACAAGGATATGTCATATGTGTATTAAGAATATCTAAAATTGAACTAGAAGTGATTTTATTGTAACACAGTGCCAAAAAAGGTAATTAAGCTTCACGACCCGGCGGTCTCCGTAATAGAAGAGACATTTGTCGATAAGCTTGTGCATCGTGAAACCTGTGGCAATAGAGCTACAAATGTACGTATCTTTCTTTTACAATAACATTCTCCAACTTGTATATTTTTTTTAATTTTTAATCGATTTGGTGATTTGATATATATCTTGTTATTAAAAGTTCCATAATGACTTTGGTTTATCAAAAAAAAAAAAAAGTTCCATAATACTAACTAACAAAAATGTATTTCGTTGATTTATTGCAGTGGCCTCATTTTTATGACGAGACCGAGTAATTTTTTTTATTAATGTTAACATCAATTATTTACAAGAACTAAAAAGTTTTAACATCATTTATAGCTATATTTATACAATTACCCACTGACTAGTTAATTATTTAATCCAGCTTAAGAAGTCCTCGGCCAATTTGCATTTATATTTGGTACAGATACATAGTACTACATTCTTGGTTAGTTGATAGTAGCATACTTGTATAGTAATTATTTTTATTAATACTTGTACTAGTAACTAGTATTACAGAAAATTGTATTTGTAACTATCGATCACTTTATCAATACATGTCATGATTACATAAAACTAAAATCAGATTAAAGAAAACAAGTTAACAAAAAATAAACAAATACTAATCAAAACATAAGCAAAATATAAGCAATATAAGAGACAAATGATAAAAAGATAAATTGTACGTTAAAATTTGAGATATTAAAACAAAAATATGATTACTAAATATGAATTCAACTAACTAATAAAATGTAACAAGACAAAAATATTTCATAAACAAATTAATTGTAAAACAATGGTTGTATTCCAATACTGCCAATGTAGTGTGTTCTCAAGAGTGGTTTTATTGCAATGTTGTGTAGGTATCTCATTGATCCGGTGTGTTGGGTTCCATGGGATAATGTGACTTTGGACGTTTGTCCACTTTGTATTATGATGAATATAAAAACAAAAGAGTGAAGTGGAAGTGAATTTCACGGATCCGACGAAAGCGGTGAATTTCACGATAGAGAAACATATAAATAGAGATTCGTGGCTTGATTCCACCGGAGTTCCTTACTACGAAGGTCTTTGATTATATTGTGAACAATATATTAACATATAACATAAGATATTTTAGAAATGTTCTTTACGTATTCTTAAACAAAATATATTTGTTTGCTTCACAATCAATTTTTCCACCATTGAAACCTCCGATACAAATTATAATCTTCCATGAGAGTCTCCCATCTCTAATTCGTTTGTAAAATTTAGTAGATGGTGAATATCATTCTCTTGTCGAATGAACCAAATACAGATTCTTCAAAACCCATACAATCACATGTTATGGTAGGGTTTAAACAAATTAGGCCTTGGGGTTTAAGATGTTACAACATTCCATACACTCAATTTGGGCCTTGACTTTAAGATACTACAAACACATTACATCAGACAACATCTACGATAAAGTTAAATCCAAATTATAAAGAGCAGTATAGGAAAGACTATGTTCTGACTACTTTTCGTATAGTTACATCTTACATGTCTCCAACACTCCTCTCAAGTTGGAACATATGTAGATTGCAAATGGATAACATGTCCAATACAAGTTGAAACTAAGCAGTCTTTTTTCCATGGGCCTATGATTGGGCCTGGTAATGGGCTTGAAAATTAATGAATGGTTTTATTATGTTTTGTTATCCAAGGGGAGTTTTCATCAAATATATTTCTAAAAACCAATCGAGAATACAAAAACACTAGATTTTAACCCGCGGTACACTGCGGGGCTATATTTTCTTAAAAAAATCAAAATGTAATTTGTTTGATAGATTATTTTGATTGTTAATTTTAGGATTTCACCCGTGGTATACTATCTTTTATAAATATCAACCCAAACCCGTGCCATCATATTACCCGTCCCGTGAAATTAAACATCATTTAGTTATTTTTCTTTTTAATAATACTTTTATTTAAAAGCTATATAATTCAAGTCAATTTAAAAATTTCTTTTAAATGGTTCCCATAAGATATATATACATATATATTAAATTTGTATAGAGTTGAAATAATATTAATATTACAAACTTTTTATATAATTTAAATATTATAAATATTTTTAAAAATATGCAATATATATTTTTTGTTATTGAATAAGAAGATATTATGTGTAAGAAATATAGAAAATAAGAGTTTAATATTTTTATTATGGAGTCGCAAGAAAAATCTTTTATTTCTATACATGTTATTCGTTTATTAATAATAAAAGAAAACAAATTTTTTTAAATTAGATATTAACTAAAATAAACGCACCATAATTACTTATTAAGTAACAACCAATAAATTTCACCAAAAAATAGGTAACAACCAATAAATTCTAAACGCAGTAATTAAAGAATGAGATATTAAAAAAAAATATCAAATAAGATATAAGAATCTTAAAATAATTGAATATCTAAATAATTTAATTGTTAGTGTCGATTTTAATGCCTTCATTAATGTGGATTTTTTTTTTACAGAGAAATATTTCCTAAAGATTATCACATTAATGACTCAGAAAATTAAGGAAGATATGAATTTATGATTCTCGAAATCGTGTTGGTAATATCTTTAAATAATATTTTTCAAATTTAAATAATTAATGCCAATGGCATTCATCCGTAAATACATTCCAACTCCAGGATTTATTTGCTAAAAGTCATCCAAAAATGTATATATAGATGATTAAATAGAATTGACAATTCGTTTTGTTTGTTTCCAACAAATTGACAATTCTTATGTATGAATTTAGGAATTTTTGTCATTGTAAAAAAAATGGGGAAAAAAAAGAAGAAAGTGATACAGTGACAGGACTGTGAAAGAGGGCACAATAAATGACAAACCGATTGGGGAGGGAGTTTTGTCGTTGATTGGTCCCCACTGGTACTCGTGACAGTAATTTCGTTTTTTTTTTGACCTTTTTGATTTGGGTCCTACCTCCTTCCTCTTGACACGTCACTTCTTCCGCCACCGTCTGACATTTTTCCAACACCTCTCTCTCTCTTTTTTCTGGTCCTTTTGACTCTTTTTCTAAGTATTTTTTTTCCTCTATTCCTAATATTATTTTCGTTTTATTGTTTCTTAAATCTTAGCCAACCAAAATTTGACTACATTTATATGTTTATACCATAAGATTCATTTCCATATAGTTTTTTTTCTTTCGAGTAAGAAACTGAACATTCTTAACCAACAAGGTAGCTGATTTTATCCAATAAATTTTCAAAACCTAATCATTTATGTGATAGGGTTCAAAGGAATATATAATAAAAAGATATAGTACTGTCGTAGTTTTTGTGTCTAGATTGAATATGGTGTTACAGATTTATATTCTTCCATCAAATTGTTATATATTTCTCTAATCGGTTGAATAGACTATAGTGGATTTAATAGACTATAGTGGATTTTTTTCTTTGTATATTAAATTTAATTTGACATTAAGAAATATATATATATATATATATATAATATATGTAAATATGTAATGTATAATGTTATGTATATGAGAGTATTTTTGTGTGTTTGTACGTATGTAATTTGTCTGTTTATTTATTACGGAAGGGAGAGGAAGAGGGAGGCGTTGGTTCCCGCGAGAATTTCGCCTTATTATCCGTTGTCCTCTTAGAGAATAATTTATTTTTGTTATATTTGTCTTCTCCACTTTCTGCATTATTCTTTTCTTTTTCTCTTGTTTTTTCTTTATACAAAATTCCACAGAAATTTTCATCACATTAATTAAAGAAACAATGTCTCTATGTCAAATATTAGAAAATTGATTGACATTTACTGAATTAGTTATTAATATTCATCAAAATTATTTTCCTACATATATAGCGTATAGTTTCATGAAATCTTTTCTCACATTGACGTTTGAATTAACGTTGATAGGACCCACAATACAGCTTCTTCCCATGCAAAAAGCTCCTCGAGCTACTCAATTAAACACTGCAAACTTCATGAAAATAGTCTCTTCCCTTGCTCTTTAATTTTCACTTTTTAATGTTTTACATTTCTTGGTTAAAAGTT